GCTGCCTTTGCAGTTAAAGATTTGAATGAAGGAGAAGGTGCTTTAATTGAATTCTGGAGAGATTACACACCATTAGTTTCCGGCTACCTCGCGAAATAACAGAATCAAGGTCTTAACATCAAATTACAGCGTGTTTGGAGTACACAAAAAGCCACTATACAAGCCAATTTGTCTGGTAAAATACAGTGCATCAATAAGATCTAATTGGCGCTCGTGACTCAGATTAATTGGCTGCGGTATCTTGAAGCTAGCGTGATGGATTTATTTTAATTACGGGTGCAGCTTAAGCTATTCTGTGTGTGTGTGTGTGTGTGTGTGTGTGTTTGTTTGTACGCATGCATAGCTCTTATTCTTAAGGTTTCTACCAGCCTTAAGTATTGGCACACGATACACTATGAAAGCCAGACAATGGAAACATAAAGAGGAACCTCTGCATACCCTCCAACATTCCTCTGATGAAAATAGGGACACTTCCAGCTCCCCCAACTGATCCACCTTCAATTCACATTTTTTGTCCCTCCAACATCTCTATCCAAAGCGCAACATAAGGTGGAGATGGAGTTTAGTCTACATGTTTAATGCCTTTGTGGCAAGACATCAAGTAAGCTGCATGTAACCCAGTACCTCAAAATGGCAAATTACAAAGGTATGTGTCAATTGGCATGTTAGTTTTACTCCTACCAAACTTTGCAAGGAAAACAATTACAAACCGAAATTTTGCTGGAGAGCAATGGCCATAAGTTTCTATGCATTCTAATGAAACCACATTATATTGTTTTTGTTCAAAATTAACTGTAAAAATTAAGATACTTTACTGAAAGAAACAAAATGTTAAAAACAAGCAATCATGCATATACTCATTCCCCTGGTATCTCATGAAAAGTTCTGAAATTTGGCTCAATAGGCCTAGGTGAATCTTCCCTATCAAGTAAAACTGTAACTTTTCAAGTAAAGGCTGGGTTAATTTGCATAGTCTATTACATGACAAAGTCCAAGGTTGATACTTACTAGGGAAAATGAAAATGCCGGCTTTTATTAAAGTATTCCAATCCAATAAAATGATTTGAAAACATTAACGTCTACAGTTATGACATGAGTCATATTTCTTTGACTTCAGAAATATGGAGTGATGTACCTTACAGCTATTTAACCAATAAGCTTTGAGGTCACTTTGACAGTTCAGTTGCCAAAAGGCCAAAAATTACATTCTTGGTAATCATTTAGTATCGGCCTCGTAATCATTGATGGGCGTAGATGCGGTAAATCTGGGTTTCGGAACACTTTTTTCATAACACCAAGATGATGTGGTTGTCTGTTAAAAAACTTGAAATGTGCTCAAAGACAGTTAGATGGCAGCATAGGGCAAATCCGCTAATCACACAAATTGTGATTACCATCATGGCAAAATGAAACTACGGTTGCATTTCTTCTAGCACACAAAGCCAAGATGGAACTCGAGTTGTCCCAGAGTTTTCCCACTCTCTGGGACTCTGCACGGAATGACAATATTTCTTTGTTGAAACTCTAGGCACAGACAGAGAACAGTGCAGCTTCTTATGACATATGATCTCTTAAGCCAAGTGGGCTGGAGCCACTACACAAACTTCCTAGCAAGTGGGAAACTGTTGCTTACTGGGAGGATGAGGCAGCAGACAGGTTGGTGTGGTGCAAACACGCGGCAGGAGCTCGAGATCGGCTCCACCAGTGCATTTTCACTGTGCTGACCTCCCTGCCTTTTCACCTCTCTCCTTCCTGGTAGCAACAGTGCCCCATCTGCTGGAAAGCTAGTTGTAGCAGCTCCCCAAATGCACACACACAACTGACAAGCCACTTCTGGTCCCAGCATTCTTAGTTCCTGCCTGTGTTTTCAGTTTGCTTGCAGAAGTCAACAGAGAAGCCAGTTTGCACCACGATACTCCTGGTTTCTCTTCCACCCTTTTCCCATTCCCTCCCCCCCCCAAAAAAAAATAGCTTCAGAAGATCTCCCAACCCTCTGGAGAATATTGTGGGGTAGGAAGGGGCTGTAGGGAAAACAGAGGAAGAATAAACCTTAACTTAACTCCAGGTAAGGGACGCGGGTGGCGCTGTGGATTAAACCACAGAGCCTAATAAGACTCTCGTTTTTGTTAAGTGAAAAAGTCAGCTTTGCAAACTTAGGCAAAAATAACTTCTTCAAAATAACTGCATTTCAACTCACAGCATCCAATGTTCAAGATCACAAACAGCCTTGAAGTCAGAAAACATTACCCTTGCATTCTTCTGTCTGCTAATCTTCTGCAATATTTCTACTACCAATTCCATAGAGACTTGCTGTTCCTCTTTGCAATTCACTTCTTCTTATAAAATTATTTAACTTTTACACCTGCCATCTGACAAAGATGTCTCCATAACAGCACCTCCACCATTAAGCAATTGCTTTATTTCATAAATCACCCATGCTAACTTGATAACTTTTTTGCTTGGATGCCAAGAGAAAATGTTTTCATCAAATCAGCACTCAGTCTATTCTTGCGAAGCAATTGTGACCTTTTCCCCACCCTCCCCCAAAAACTTCACTGCAACCATTTTTTAGCCTAACAAGCATCTTATCCTCTAAATAAAAGATAGGGAAAGGTCCACTGTGCATTTTTACAACGATCAAGGAAGGCCTTGCACACTTTGGACAAGCACAAAACACTGCTTTATTAATACTAATTATTCGTAGTTATATGAACTGTGCAATGGAACACCTGGTCGTAACAGCAAACATAAAAATGTTCCACAGTTCTACAAATCTGTCTGTACTCCTCCCAAACTGCTTTTCCAGAGAGATCCTGCCTGAAACATGGGAGGCTACTGGGTTTGGCAAATCTGTAATTTTATTTTTTTTAAATCATCTTCCAATAGAAGCGGATGGTTGTTTCCTGAATTCCCTTCACCATAGTGGTTTTTAGGCCTGGCTCTAGGTTTGGGGGAATCCTCAGCAGGGATAGGAGAATCTGTCAATTTCAGTTTCTCTCAGTTCCTTGTGTTCCTCATTCTTAAGTTCAGTCCTTTATATTCCCACATCAGTTGGTGCTTTTGAAAAGTCCTCATACAAATCCATCAGCATTTTAGTGCAAATTCCTCCTGCATTTTTGTATGCAATTTCGCTTAACATGTGGTTACGAACTTAATTTGTTCCAGAGATCCTTTCTTAACCTGAAACCGTTCTTAACCTGAGGTACCACTTTAGCTAATAGGGCCTCCCACTGACGCCGCACGATTTCTATTCTCATCCTGGGGCAAAGTTCTTAACCCGAGGTGCTACTTCCGGGTTAGTGGAGTCTGTAACCCAAAGTGTTTGTAACCTGAGGTGTTTGTAACCCGAGATACCACTGTATTAATAATAATAATAATAATAATAATAATAATAATAATAATATACCGCCTTATACCTGAAGGTTGTAGGGTGTTTCACAGAATAAAATCAAAATATAAAACCACAAAATACATAATCAAAATAAATAAAAGGTAAAGGTAAAGGTACCCCTGCCCGTACGGGCCAGTCTTGACAGACTCTAGGGTTGTGCGCCCATCTCACTCAAGAGGCCGGGGGCCAGTGCTGTCCGCAGACACTTCCGGGTCACGTGGCCAGCGTGACAAGCTGCATCTGGCGAGCCAGCGCAGCACACGGAAACGCCGTTTACCTTCCCGCTAGAAAGCGGTCCCTATTTATCTACTTGCACCCGAGGGTGCTTTCGAACTGCTAGGTTGGCAGGCGCTGGGACCGAGCAACGGGAGCGCACCCCGCCGCGGGGATTCGAACCGCCAACCTTTTGATCGGCAAGTCCTAGGTGCTGAGGCTTTAACCCACAGCGCCACCCGCGTCCCTTTATCAAAATAAATACAACAACCCAATAACAGCCCCCCAAGGTACATAGGATGTCAATCAAATCAACCAAAGGCCTGGTTAAAAAGGAATGTTTTTGGCTGGTGCCTAAAGGTATATAAAGAAGGCGCCAGGTAAACTTCCCTAGGAAGAGCATTCCATAGACAGAGAGCCACTGCAGACAAGGCCCATTCTCGTGTTGCCACCCTCCAGACCTCTCAAGGAGGAAGCCACAAAGAAGGGCCTCAGATGTTGATCTAAGGGGACACAGGGCAGATCTGTGAGTGAGGAGCTCCACCGCACACTGCCCCTGCCTTTGCTTGGAGACCCCTGAATTCCAACTGCAGCCAAGGACAACAGTCATACGATATCACCAATTTTCTCAGGTAGTCAAGAAGATTATCATGAATGCCAACACGCTGCCCTTACCTTTATGCAATGTAGTCAAAACAGGCAATCTTCCAGGAAAGATAATTTCAATAATAAACCTTGTGTACAAAGAGACACAAACATGAACACGTGAAGAAGACCATGGGAGAACGAAGGACGCGTTTCACCTCAACATTTCAGAATAAGACAAGGAGACACAGACCACCTATCATTGTATTTTTCAGCTGGAAATATTAGGGTTGGGTATGAGGACACTGTTGCCCTTTGGATGTTGGGTGACAAGCCCCACCAATCCATGCTTCCTGGAAATGATTGGAATTATAGTCTTGCAATAACTGGAGGGGACTAAGTTGGGGAAAGCTGCTTTAAAGTGTGGCATATCACATTAAGTTAAATGAAAAACAAAGCAAGGCAAAGAAATAAATATGAGAAAGTAAGCCCTTAAGAGATCCTCGTGATCCTCATTTCACTATATTCGCTATTCCTTCCTGATGGCCCTTGTGTTTAAATATTAAAATTAAAAATTGGCCTGAAGTCAAATTTGGGGATAAATGATTGATTCAAAGTGTCTGTATATTCATTTGTACAACTGGAATGTTGTGACTCAGCAGTTGTTCTCAGCTCTAAACCTTGACAGCGGCCAAGTTCAAGTGTTTATTTAGCACTTTATTGCCCCTTGTCATTTAAAAATGAACTGCTTTGAGTTACTAGCATCCATACAGAGTTTAAGAGGTTAGCAGAGTGTTTCGTTGCTGTAACAATGCAGGACCACCTTTCAAGCACAGCGAGCATCTTGACCTCTCAATTTTTGACAACTCAGCCAACTCCGAATTTTTCATATTGCTCTGCCAACGCCACGATTTGCAATGGCACATCCTGTGTGCTATCTACTGAAGATTACAACAGAGTTTTGAGCACCATTTTAAGCACCGTCCTAACAATCTTGTTGGCAATGGTGATGTTCTCCATGGGCTGCAACGTGGAGCTGAAGAAATTTCTAGGACACATTAGAAGGCCATGGGGCATAGCCGTAGGCTTCCTCTGCCAGTTTGGAATTATGCCTCTGACTGGTTTTGTGCTGTCGTATGCCTTCAATATACTTCCTATACAAGCTGTTGTGGTGATCATCATGGGTTGCTGTCCTGGTGGAACATCTTCCAATATTTTAGCCTACTGGGTAGACGGTGACATGGACCTAAGGTAAGAGATATTGGCTTTCAACAGAATTGCCTCCTTCCCTACCGACCCTCTCTGGTGCTAATGTTGGTGGAGAGTGTCCTTTTGGTCATTCCACTGCCCTCAGAAGCTCAGGAGGTTGCAGTCCAGAAGATGGCATTCTATGTGGCAGCCCCTAAGTTGTGGAACTTCCCACAGAGTTGCATCCAGCACCTTCATTATATAACTTTTGGTGAATGCTGAAGATACATCTGTTCTCCTTGGATTTTTACTCTTGAGATGTATATGTTTAGGATCCACCTTATTTTGTTAAGCTTAAGTTCTTTTAAACTGCTTTTCATATTGTATAGTAATGTGTTTTAATGCTAATGTTGTGTTTCCATTGTTCTAACCCATGCTGGGATGTTAGGGTGAAGGACAGGTAATGGAATAAATTTAATATAGATGATGATGATAATGATGATGATCAGATACCTGGAACAGGAATAGCCTCTAAGGTATCTCACTCAAATCCTTCCCTGAATTATAGTGCCAACTCTGTATACATTAATTACTGAAAAATTATTGCGGCGTGAAGCCACACAATCCAGAAAGCTGCTTGGAACTTGCCTGCATCATGGCTCCATAAACAGCAAACCTTGATGCCGCACGGCAAACTTACGCTGAACTTCCCAGAAGGGAGAAACCCATACAAAGCTGCTGGATGTATAGAGCTACTAATAAGGTTATCTGGAATGTGTCTGTTGATGATGAACGATTGCATGCTAGTCCATCGGTAAACATATTTTGGGTTGGTATTATCTACTCAGGCTGCTATTCCAGGCTCACCTGCAAAGTTATTGACTCTAACGCCACAGTTACAGCAGCAAGGGCAGATAGAGAAGTATGTTGTTGTTGTTTAGTCATTTAGTCGTGTCCGACTCTTCATGACCCCGTGGACCAGAGCACGCCAGGCACTCCTGTCTTCCGCTGCCTCCCACAGTTTGGTCAAACACATGCTGGTAGCTTCGAGAACACTGTCCAATCATCTCGTCCTCTGTCGTCCCCTTCTCCTTGTGCCCTCCATCTTTCCCAACATCAGGGTCTTTTCCAGGGAGTCTTCTCTTCTCATGAGGTGGCCAAAGTATTGGAGCCTCAGCTTCAGGATCTGTCCTTCCAGTGAGCACTCAGGGCTGATTTCCGTAAGAATGGATAGGTTTGATCTTCTTGCAGTCCATGGGACTCTCAAGAGTCTCCTCCAGCACCATAATTCAAAAGCATCAATTCTTCGGCAATCAGCCTTCTTTATGGTCCAGCTCTCACTTCCATACATCACTACTGGGAAAACCATAGCTTTAACTATACGGACCTTTGTTGGCAAGGTGATGTCTCTGCTTTTTAAGATGCTGTCTAGGTTTGTCATTGCTTTTCTCCCAAGGAGCAGGCGTCTTTTAATTTCGTGACTGCTGTCACCATCTGCAGTGATCATGGAGCCCAAGAAAGTAAAATCTCTCACTGCCTCCATTTCTTCCCCTTCTATTTGCCAGGAGATGATGGGACCAGTGGCCATGATCTTCGGGGGGGGGGGGTTTATGTTGAGCTTCAAACCATATTTTGTGCTCTCCTCTTGGTGGCTATTCCATTTGACCTCAGCCTGACTTTGAAATAACAGGAGAACCCACTACAGTAGTAGTAGTAGTAGCAACAGCTATTAACAATAGATTCTACTGCCATTTGGAGCACACATTTTCCCATCTAAAGTTTTTTTCCAAATTAGTATTTGTCCTGGAGTTTATCCAATGGGACAAAAAGCAATATAAGGGGAAAATAGGAAAATGGCACAGGGGGTGGGAATGGTAAGTCAGTCTTTCCCCCAGTACTGCTGCCTTGATCTGATTCAGCAACCCCTGAGACTGTTTTGAGCTTTTTTTTGGGGGGGGGGTATGCAGCAGATCCCATGGCATGCCTCCCAGTGTCTTGAGTAACTTGGCTCTGAAAGAACCTTTCCCCCACCCTAAAATGCTAGGCATATCCTTCATGAGACAAACCATCCCATCAAGGCCATCACCTCCACACCTTGCTTGAGAGCTTTCAGCAGCATCTGTCTGGCTGCTTTGAATCAAATAATTTTAGATTGGGAAGAGACCTTGAAGGTCGTATAGTAAGACACACACACACCCAGCTCAATTTCACATCAGTGATGCCGGTCTCTTTCGGCAGAGGCTGATCAGCCACTATCAGAGATGCAGTGCTAGCATCCCTGAGTGACAGAGGCTGACTAGACTCTGCTTAAACGCCTGCAGTGAAGGAGAGCTTCTGTTCCACTGCTGAACAGCTCCTATCCTTGGGACATTTCTCCAAATGTCTAGTTGAGATCTGCTTCCTGGCCATTTCCACCCATGCATTCTAGCCCTGCCCTCTGTGGCAACAGATAGCAATCCTGCTCCATCTTTTGTGCATGGCAGCCCTTTCAATATCTGAAGACAGCCGGAATATATGAGGGTGTTGTTGTTTTTAATCTCATGTGGCACAACTCTTACATTCTGCATCGGGGCCCATCCTAATACACACCTTTGTCTCAGACCTGCTGGACTACCAAGTTGCCTTTGAAACTCCGTAGCTCAGGCAGGACATTTAAAAACAAAGCAAAACACTATACGGTGCAAATATTCATCCCACTCCAGAGATCCTCAGACCCACAAGGGCTGTTTCACAGGTGATCCACAGTGCCAGCCGGATGGCTTGCCAGGGAGAAAGGTCTTCCATATGGAATGCATATGGAGAAACATACAAACTTATGCCTGCAATAACATGTTGCTAGAGCTTGTCTTTTGTCTCCCACACATCCCTTGTGTTTTCTGCACCAGGGCAAAGGAGTTTCCCTGGAATACTTTTGTAATAAAAATCTGTACCCACTTCCAACATTAATGGAGAACGGGAGTAAATTCCTTCTTTTTTTCCCCAGTCTGGCAAAAGACTGAATTGGCCTGCTTTTAAATAATGCCATATTTAAACACTTTCTGTGATCCTATAATCTCTGCACGGAAGAGATTGTTTTCAGTGGGTCTTATTCCCAGGTAGGTGTGCTTAAAGACTTTTGGCCACCATCTTTAAACTTCAATTCTGGCATTTACCAGTTTTGACTTTTTTTTGTAGCCAAGAATTTAATTTTCTCAGAACCAAAGGCTTCACATTCTAACTTGGCATCATCTTGTGACTACCCACCTAATCCTATCAAACAGCATTCCTTCCTCAGTCCTCACAAGACTGAAGGGACATAAAACCACACTGAGCAAATATAGTGCAAACAACCCAGAAGCGGCTCTCAAGGTTCCTGTACTTTTCAGATGACCCTGCTATAGCATAGACGTTCTTCCAAGGGCCTTATGCGGAAGAGGAGAGAATAAGACCTTCTCCAACTGCTTTCAACCAGCAACCTCCTTAAACCAGCCTCCAGGTGTTTTGGACTACAACTCCCATGAGCCTCAGCCAGAACACAGTTGGTTGGCGTTGTAGTACAAAACACCCACTCCAGAGCCATAAGAACCAGCTTAAGTCTGTGCTGAGCCTCCATTTAAAAGCCATGGACTCACCAACGCAAAAAGTATTTGTAGCTTGCATGGTACAAACAGTAATTGCAACCAACTCTCTTGCAGCATCAGTATGACAACATGTTCGACTTTGCTGGCCATGGGAATGATGCCACTATGCCTCTTCCTTTATACCAAAATTTGGACAGACTACAGTTCCCTTTTAATCCCCTACGACAGTATCGGTAAGTTACATTTGTACCTTCTCCCACAGCAAACATTCTCTTATCACACATCTGCAGGGCTCCATGCAACTGAGTTCTTGCGTTGTGTGTCGAGACCCCGCAGCCACCCCCTCGTTGGAAATAACTCACACAAGGACACAGATATTAGGTTTATGTTATTGGGTAAATTTTGGGCACAACTTTACTGAATTACAGAATGTGAGCGGTATTGGCTTAGTCATTGATTGGACCTGACTATATCTGACTCCTGCCCATTGTGCAGGAAGTCCAGTAAGGGTAAGCCACCGGTAGGGGGAGCCCTTTTGATGTGAACCAACTCAAGCTCCCCCTGGTGTTCCCATCGGGGTCGTGTCAAGGCCTTAGCCCCCCAGCTGGGCTTCAGACTAGATCAACACCCCCGGATTCCTTTAACGGAATACCCTTAAGCATGGAGGGGCAGGTGATGGCCACACCTCCCCTCCCCCACACAAGGTCAAACAATGCCTAACCCTAACCCTAATAAAGTTGTGATGATTGCTACGAGGTAGGCAAAAACCAAGTGGCCAGTGCCAATTTGCCAAGTGGAAAAATTCCTACCAGGCCCCTCGGACAACCAAGGCGACCAAATGAAGTCCATAGCAAGGCCATTGCCTAACCTGCAAAATAGGGAGGGAGGGCGGGTGATTGAGGAAGCGAGCCAAAGAGGAAGTCCTCTGGCTCGCTCCTCTGTTTAAACGGCCCCGGCCACGCCCCTACAGCCAGCGGATTGGCTGACCAGGCTCTGACATGGCTGGGATCCCCCAGGCAATGGGGGACAAAGCCCCCCGCCCCCGGTGGGGAGTGGGTGGCCACGCGGTCCACCGCAAGTCCTCTCCACTGGGAAGTGATCTAGCGGAAGCCGGCACAGTGAGTCCCATTCGTGCAAGGGGACTTTTACCCCCTCTCCCCCGAACCTGGTCAGGAGAACCCCCAGAGCAGCACCCAGGGCAAGATGGGACACCCAACAAGCAGAAATGCTTTGGCTGGTGGAACACTAGCAGTAGCGTGACATTGAATTCCACCATAAGTCTACAATGCCAATGCACCATTGACCTCTACACTCAGAAGTGTAGAGCACCTCTGTAGTGCTGAAATATGGGTTGGTGAGTGTGCTGCTTCATCATTTCCCATTCCCTCACTCCAGATGTGCACACTTATTTGAGCTTCCAGGGTAGCTTCCTCCTAGGCTACACAGTCTACGCTGGCACAATGTAGGATGGTCCCTCACAATAAGGACCAGAGTGCCCCAGGCTTTGCCCAGGATGTGTCTTACATTTCCAGTGGTGCCCTTATAAGTTCAGTTAAGACAGCATCAATGCACACTTCTGTTTTTTGAGAGGATGTGTATCTATGTCTCCACATTATCAATCAACATCCTTTGTGGAAATGGAATGATGGTACTGATAACATTTGAAGTTTAAATGCTCAGTAGAAGCTAGACTAGGGGACGCGGATGGCGCTGTGGGTAAAAGCCTCAGCGCCTAGGGCTTGCCGATCGAAAGGTCGGCGGTTCGAATCCCTGCGGCGGGGTGCGCTCCCGTTGCTCGGTCCCAGCGCCTGCCAACCTAGCAGTTCGAAAGCACCCCCGGGTGCAAGTAGATAAATAGGTACCGCTCTGGCGGGAAGGTAAACGGCGTTTCCGTGTGCTGCGCTGGCTCGCCAGATGCAGCTTTGTCACGCTGGCCACGTGACCCGGAAGTGTCTCCGGACAGCGCTGGCCCCCGGCCTCTTAAGTGAGATGGGCGCACAACCCTAGAGTCTGTCAAGACTGGCCCGTATGGGCAGGGGTACCTTTACCTTTTTAGAAGCTGGACTGAGTTGCACCCTGCAGAGTTGCACCCTGACATTTCCAACAGGTGCAAAGATCTCCACAAAATTTACTTCAATTCTGGGATGAATTGTGGGGTGTATTTGTAAGGGCTCCCAGATTTCATGTGGGATGAGATAAAATCAGCAAGAAAAGACATGCTACACTTATGTTTTAACTAAACGAACGTGGAATAGCCATTGTGCCAAGAAAACACAAAACAAACTAATATATGTTTCCAAAAGAACATGGAAGATAGGGAGAATTGTGTGACAAGCAAACTATTATAAATAGACAGGTATGTTTATATCAAGAATCCTTTGTATAAGACTGTGATGGAAAGACTGTCTTCTGGGCCCCTTAACAGATCTGAAGAACAGGCTGGTAGCCAATGTGACCATTAGTATAGTTTGTGGCCAGTGATATTATTCATATACTTAAAACCAAAAGATCATGCCCAGACTGTCAAGTTACCATGTACAAAAAATAAATAAATGTGCAAGCTCTGTCCACAGTTTTTGCTAGCAGAAAGTCCAAACAGGTTGGTAACACAGGCATTAGATGTGGAGTGCTGAAGATTGCTACCAACAAATTCAGATGCTCACTTGGATGTGTTCTGCACCAAACATAATATCATAATGCAGCCATAGCAGAAGTTCTGGGAAAAACAAGCAATCTATATAGTTCTGCACATGTGGTGATAAAGCTTCTGGTGAAACTGATCAACCAAGACAGTGTGTTATGGAATGTTCAGTTGCTAAGGAAACTAAACAGGTTGCAGTCCAGCTTCTGTGAGGAGACGGGAATATCTTAGTGTGACTGCAATTAAAACCTCACCCGTATTCAGATTGCATATTTGGAACAGGTTCTAGGCTGTAGGGATGCTATGGAATTGGAAGGGGTTAGACACAAGGAATGTGGAGTAGCCAAGAGGGAGCATGAAGAAAGGGTAAGTAGAGAATGAGACTTGGGGAAAATAAGGACAGAAAAGAATCAGCCGAGGCAAGGAGCTAAGAAAGCTCTGAAGAAACTTCACAGCACTTGATAGGCATGGGCTGTATATTATAAGAATGAGAAGAGGAATTTTATGGCTGGTTAGGTGATAGGGTGTTGAAAGGAAGAGGAACAATGTAGTCAGTGGCCTGGAAAGCAAGAATGTGAGAAACAATGAAAGGGAGAAAGGGAGACTGGAAGAAACCTCAAAGGGTCTAGGAAGAAAGTGGGAAGGACTTTGTGGGTGTCAGTGGGTTATAGGTTTGCTTGGTGTAGAGTCTAAACTGTAGTAAGGGAATTCCAGCAGTTGTGGCTTTTGTTTTTAGCAGACCTTTGCAACTGAGCAACTCTAAAGAGGCAATAAGAATGGAGCAATTTCACATATTGGCTACAGCTAACCAGTCAATTCTTTGGGTATCATTTTCTGGTCAACATTTGTTGCCTTGGGATCCAAAATTGCCTTCAGATCTATACCATTCTACTACTAAGGCATGCTGTGTGCATGGCACAATAATGGATCCCGCTCACTGTCCTGGCTTTGTTTTTAGCCTCGGGGCTGGGGGTCCGGGAGCGAAGGCGAGGTTGCGCAACCTCGCCATCGCTCCCAGAGCTTGCGGGGCTGGGGGAAGCCCGAGCTTCCCCCGACCCCAGCCCCCAGAACGGGTCCGAGAGCGATGGCGAAGTTGCGCGCAGCTTCGCCATCGCTCCCGGAGCTTGCCGGGCTGGGGGGATAGCTTCCTGAAGCCTGGAGAGTGAGAGGGGTCGGTGCGCACCGACCCCTCTCACTCTCCAGGCTTCAGCGAAAGCCTGCATTCGCCCCATAGGACGCACACACATTTCCCCTTCATTTTTGGAGGGGAAAAAGTGCGTCCTATAGGGCGAAAAATATGATAATTTTTTCCTTCTTCTTCTGAGAAACAAAATACCCTTGAATGCCACACAACGAGAGAAGCTTTAAACTAGTGCCAGCTATAGAAGTAGAACCCCAAAGGCAAAAATCAATGCTTCATAGCATTGTAAAAAAAGAAAAGGTATGCCACAGAATGACAACGATTAACCACAGGGCAAATAAAGCTGTATTTTTGTTATCCAGCTGGGTGAACGTGTGACTTTTTATAGGCTATCAAACACAGAGCCAGCATGGTGCAGCAGGCAGTTGTCAGGACTTTGATCAGCGGCACCGTCTCAGGCATGGCAATCCCTGGGTGACCCTGTTAAGGCAATCCCTCGCTCTGTCATCCCCAGGAAAATCCCCACCTACACAGCCATGAGCTTCCTGAATGAGATAATTGATTAATATTTGATCCTTCAAGGTAGAAAAGACAGCTATGTGTGAGAAAGCATGGGAACTGAAATAAAGGGCGCAGGGAGCTGCCTTATGCAGAATCCGACCATTGCTCCATGCCAGAGTTCCACCTGACATTGCGGGGGGGGGGTTCATCGCATGTGCATGACATCACATGTGTGACACATCATGCATGTCGGGAAGAGACCATGAGGAGGCTCAGCCCCTCAGGATTGGTGGGGCTCAGCCCTATTGCCACATACTTTGGGAGTGAGGTGTCCCCATCCCCACAGAGCTGGAGCCTATTCTCCATGCAGCTTAGTATTGTCTACACAGATTGGCAGTGACTCTCCTAGGTTTAAGGCAAGGAGTATTTCTTAGCCCTACATGAAGAGGCCAGGGACCTTCTGATGTTTAGAAGACATCTGAAGGCAGCCCTGTTTAGGGATGTTTTTAATGACTGATGTTTTAATGTATTTTTAATCTCTTGTTGGAAGCCACCCAGAGTGGCTAGGGAAACCCAGCCAGATGGGCGAGGTGTAAGTAATAGATTGCTATATTATTATTATATATTGACCCCTTCCCCAAACATGCATTTTCAAGAGATCGCATTGTTTGGACCTCACCCTTCTCAAGCAAAGAGTTCTGTGCCCAACATGTCCTCTTCTCCTTCCAGGCATTTCACTGGTAGCACTTGTCATTCCCGCTTCGCTCGGAATATTTTTTAAGCATCGATGGCCCGCAAAAGCTAAAATCGTACTCAAGGTAAGGTGTGACATTCCCCAAATGCATATCCAAAAGCTACCCAGAAATGTCAAGGTGTACTGACCTTCTCTTTCCTCCCTCAGATTGGTTCCATTGGTGGTGCAGTTCTCATAGTGCTCATAGCTGTGGTTGGAGGGATATTGTACCAGGGCTCCTGGACCATCACTCCTGCACTCTGGATTATCGGAGCCATCTTCCCATTCGCTGGCTATTCAGTGGGGTTTATTCTGGCTCGCATAGCTGGCCAGTCCTGGCACAGGTAAAGCTCCAGAATACAAGAATGGAACAGCTTCTGTTTCCTTCAGGCTTGATGTATACACACACGTTGGAGTAATGCTTGCAAATGCACCGCAACGGTTTTGGAACGCTCCAAACATGTTGCAGAACATCTCATTTTTTGCCATTTTCCGACACACAGCTCTTCTGCAGCTACAAAGCTATAAGAAATACTTTTGTAAAGTTGTTCCTCAGCATCCCCACTGCGGCAACATTTCGCAAGCTGTGCCCAATCCACTTATCTGGTGCTGTGCACAAGCAAATTTGTCTTCTCATTTCCTGGGAGCTGACTAATGGCTTCAACACAGAGAGGTGACTGGCAAGTCCCTCAGTGATTACCCAAAGGACGTCCCATTAGTTTGTGCTGTAGAACAGAGATTTGCAAAGGCCAGTCAAGTTGAGAAGGCACATCAGGGACTGAAAGACATGCGTGGGCAGACAGCACCCTGTTTTAAAGGCCTCAATATGCATACAGGTCCGAGCAGCCGCAAGGTACCTGAGTGGAATGGCAATATAAGATGCACTTCGCAGCAGAGTCAGGAAGGTCACTTACTGCTATATCTGCAAATTTAATGTCTCGGTCTTTCTCCCTGTTTTGCAATGTACACTGACACAAAATACATTGATGCAGTAGGATACTAGTCACACATTCATGCATCGCGTAATTGACTCTGGATCAGCTCAAGGTGAAGCCGCCCAGGGCCAATTTCAAGGTGTGCATTCAGAATGCAAGTGAGCTATTTTAGGTGAGGTTGCTCAGCAGGGAAGTTCACACCGATTCTTAAAGAGCCCACCGTCCGCCATTCAAACTATTTCCATCTTGCCCTTGGTCAATTGCAGAGGGAGCTAACATGGCGCTCTCCGAGCGTTGATGGGAGTACAACTGCCAGCAAGCATTGTCCATGGTCTGGGTCCTGGGATGTTGCATGTTGTAGTCCAACAATCTCTGGAAGGCATACAGATTGGCTGCCCCTGGTCAAATGACTGGAGAAATATCCAGTGCCTTCCTTGCTCACTTTGCCAGCCTTCCTATTATTCCAGTCATATCGTTGAGCCCTTGGGTACGGAGTTAAGAGAATGGGAGCGCAATCCTATGCATGCTAACTTGGGATTGATCCCCACTGATTTCAGTGGGTCTCACTGCCCAATATGCACCCAAAGCATTGCATCCTGAGACTTCCAGCAGTCGAAATTTACCTAGTGTATTGCAAACTGAGTAGGTCTACTTTTGCACCACTTTTTCCAGTGTGTGAAATCTCTGGTTTGTTCTGGCCACGCGCAGATTAATGAAATGTAGCCCATAAACATAATAGCGATGCAGGCAAGCCAGGCTCATTGTTTAAATATATAACATGAGGACAATTTCTAAAGTGTGTATGTCTTTTTAAAATTTATTGTATAGCCCTAGGTAAATTCAAAAGGGATGCGGGTGGCGCTGTGGGTTAAACCACAGAGCCTAGGACTTGCCGATCAGAAGGTCAGTGGTTCGAATCCCCGTGACGGGGTGAGCTCCCTTTGCTCGGTCCCTGCTCCTGCCAACCTAGCAGTTCGAAAGCACGTCAAAGTGCAAGTAGATAAATAGGTACCGCTCCGGCGGGAAGGTAAACGGTGTTTCCATGCGCTGCTCTGGTTCGCCAGAAGCAGCTTAGTCATGCTGGCCACATGACCCGGAAGCTGTATGCCAGCTCCCTCGGCCAATAAAGCGAGATGAGCGCCGCAACCCCAGAGTCGGCCACGACTGGACCTAATGGTCAGGGGTCCCTTTACCTTTACCTAGGTAAATTTAAGCATTTTATTTAAAAACACCAACAACATGATTATGATGACACTGCCAGTTCAGAGCTGCTCCCAGCCTACCCAATCATTGCTCATATTTATTTTATTTATTTTACAAATTTTATATACCGCTAGATGGGAAGAAAACCTCTCACCAGAAGTGCAATTGGCTGTCACTCTATCAGGAACACAGTGCCTTTTCAATGTGTACATCACATTATGTTCTGTCAGCACTAATGTGTGCGACATAGTCAGGTCACATTCATTATAACCCTTGTGGAAGGTACCTTTTTATGACCTCGTTTATTTTTCTTAATTGATCTTTTAATTAGCTTTGAAATGCTTTTCAAGCTATATATTTTCATGAAAAAAAATATAATGTTGTAAAGTTATGGTTCTATAACACAAGTAGACCATGGTGATGTTGTTGTAGCAACATGGCTAAAAAGCTTTTTAAAAATAGATAAACCAAACATATTATACCTTTATGACTTTATAGTATATAATCGCTCTTTCATTAAAGAGAAATTATTTTAGTGCTCATTAAAATGTTAATGTAAGGAATAGATCAGTGGGACCATTAAGAAGTGCTCACCGCAGAGATTGTAATCAATATATGCTAAGCTTTGATAAGTTTACTATCTCAATAGGGCAAGACCTATGTTAAAACCCCAACCTTTTATAAAGGCGATGCTAAAGGCATCTATACCTGTTGAGATTCTTGTATACAGTGGTACTTCGGGTTACATACACTTCAGGTTACTTACGCTTCAGGTTACAGACCTCTGCTAACCCAGAAATAGTACCTCGGGTTAAGAACTTTGCTTTAGGATGAGAACAGAATATGCTCTGGTGGCGCGGCAGCAGCAGGAGACCCATTAGCTTAAAGTGGTGCTTCAGGTTAAGAAACAGTTTCAGGTTAAGTACGGACCTCCAGAACGAATTAAGTACTTAACCTGTACCTGTATACAGTGCTGCCTCGAAGACAAATTAATTCGATTCCGCAATTTTTTCTCTGCGAGTTTGCGATGCACGGTTCCTAGGAATGCATAAAATCAATTAATGCGATTCCTAGGGAACACTCAGAAGGTCCGGGAAGTCTGTCCCCACTCTTTGAAGTGGGGGGGGAACAAGGGCTTCCCATGCCAGCCTTCAGAAGGCTGTTCTGAAGGCTGGCGGTGGGAAAAAAGCCCTTCTTCCCACCTCCCGCCCCGCAAGCTCCGGGGACCTCCTGCCGGGCGCGCGAAGCTTGCTGACACTCGCCCGAAGCAGGGGAAGCCCTCCGGAGGGCTCCCCGTGCTTCAGGCGACAGGCTGCCGCCCCAAGCCTCGCGCACCCGGCGGGACCTCCTGCCGGGCGCGCGAGGCTTGCAGACACTCGCCCAAAGCAAGGGGAGCTCTCCGAAGGGCTCCCCGTGCTTCGGGCGACAGGCTGCCGCCCCAAGCCTCGCGCACCCGGCGGGACCTCCTGCCGGGTGCGCAAGGCTTGCAGACACTCGCCCGAAGCAGGGGAAGCCCTCCGGAGGGCTCCCCGTGCTTCGGGCAACAGGCTGCCGCCCCAAGCCTCGCGCACCCGGCGGGACCTCCTGCCGGGTGCGCGAGGCTTGCAGACACTCGCCCAAAGCAAGGGGAGCTCTCCGAAGGGCTCCCCGTGCTTCGGGTGACAGGCTGCCGCCCCAAGCCTCGCGCACCCGGTGGGACCTCCTGCCGGGTGCGCGAGGCTTGCTGACACTCGCCCGAAGCAGGGGAAGCCCTCCGGAGGGCTCCCCGTGCTTCGGGTGACAAGCTGCCGCCCCAAGCCTCGCGCACCCGGCGGGACCTCCTGCCGGGCGCGCAAGGCTTGCAGACACTCGCCCAAAGCAAGGGGAGCTCTCCGGAGGGCTCCCCGTGCTTCGGGTGACAGGCTGCCGCCCCAAGCCTCGCGCACCCGGCAGGACCTCCTGCCGGGTGCGCGAGGCTTGCAGACACTCGCCCAAAGATTTTAAAATGCTGGGGGTCGGGAGCGAAGCGTTCGCTCCCGCCCGCCAGCATTTTAAGATCGCCCGGGGCAGCGGAGAAGTCTCCGCTGTCCCGGGAAGGCAGGCGGGGGGGAGCAAAGACTTTTGCCCCCCGCCGGCCTTCAGAAGAGGTCCAGGACCTCTTCTGAAGGCCGGCTGTGGGCGAAAGTCTTTGCTCCCGACCGCCAGCAATTTAAAACAGGTCCCCGGAGATTTCCCTATGGGCTTTCGTCTTGCGAAGCAAGCCCATAGGGAAATTCGTCTTGCGAAGCGCCTCCAAAACAGAAAACCCTTTCGTCTTGCGGGTTTTCCGTCTTGCGAGGCATTCGTCTTGCGGGGTACCACTGTATACAAGAAGCGAAGTTACAGGGAAGCAGGCAGAGGGCCTTCTTGATAGTGGCATCTTCCCTGTGGAACGCCCTCCCATCAGATGTCAAGGAGATAAAGAACTACATAACTTTTAGAAGACATCTGAAGGCAGCCGTGTATCAGGAAGTTTTTAACGTTTGATGTTTTATTATGTTTCTATATATCCTATTAGCCGCCCAGAGTGGCTGGGGAAACCTATGATAATGATAAAATTATTAACATTATTGTTGTTGTTGTTGTTGTTGAAGATGAGAATGTTTGGATGATGGCGTTGTGCAGATTCACCATAAAGAGAGAGTGAACAAAATGTGGTGATTTCACAGTAAAATCTTAGGGTGGGGTGTGAAAGCACCCTAAGTCTCTTTATGTGGTTGTGTGTGTGTGTGTGTGTGTGTATGTGTGTGTGTGATTTTTTAATAATGTCGTTTCTTTTAGGTGTCGTACTGTAGCTCTGGAAACGGGGATGCAGAATACTCAGCTCGCTTCCACCATAGTACAGCTCTCATTCAGCCCAGAACAACTGGAGCTGATGTTTACTTTCCCACTCATCTACAGTATTTTCCAGCTAATACTTGCAGCAATGTTTTTGGGAGGTAAGCCACCCTATGTACACCCCATTCTAATCTCTCTCCCCCCACTTTTTATCAGTTTGCATTAGAACAATGGTTTTTACTCCATTTCTTTTAACTCTCTCTCTCTCTCTTTATCTATATACAGTGGTACCTCAGGTCACATATGCTTCAGGTTACATACACTTCAGGTTACAGAGTCTACTAACCCAGAAATAGTGCTTCAGGTTAAGAACTTTGCTTCAGGATGAGAACAGACATCGTGCTCCAGCGGTATAGCAGCAGCAGGAGGCCCCATTAGCTAAAGTGGTGCTTCAGGTTAAGTACAGTTTCAGGTTAAGAACGGACCTCCGGAACGAATTAAGTACTTAACCCGAGGTACCACTATATATAGTTAAAAACAATAACCAAACAGAACAAGAAACTCTGACTTTGTCAATACTGCTCATAATCATCAAGGTTGCAAACTATACAAGTAAATTGCCTTGTGCTCCCCATTCCCCAACCCATATTAATAAGAGGCCAATATGATCGGTTTGGATCAAAACAGGCCACAACTCTATTGAATACAGATGAAAGATGTTTGGCTTGGGCATGGGGCAATTGAAATACTTCCGGCCTGCCCCCTGGAAGTGACGTGTAGGTCAATCCAGGCGGGGGTTCGTAAGACTTACATCAAACAGGGTCGCCCCCGCAGGGACCACCGTCTGGGGGAGTGCCTTTGGCCCTGGCCCTGCCTGGGCACGTAGACATAACCACTCTTTCCGGATCCCTTTAACGGGATACCCCAGCCTTTGGAGGGGCAGGCAGAGAATACAACCTCCCCTCCATCCAAGACAAAGGAACGCCCCCAAAGGGGTGAGCGGACTTGGCTGCCAATCCAGTCGCAACCTTTGCTGTTGTCCAACAACGTAAGCAGAATATGTCACCTGGCTCAGCTCAAGGTAAAGGTAAAGGTACCCCTGCCCGTACGGGCCAGTCTTGACAGACTCTAGGGTTGTGCGCCCATCTCACTCAAGAGGCCGGAGGCCAGCGCTGTCCGGAGACACGTCCGGGTCACGTGGCCAGCGTGACATCGCTGCACTGGTGAGCCAGAGCCGCACACGGAAACACCGTTTACCTTCCCGCTAGTAAGCGGTCCCTATTTATCTACTTGCACTCGGAGGTGCTTTCGAACTGCTAGGTTGGCAGGAGCTGGGACCGAGCAACGGGAGCGCACCCCGCCGCGGGGATTCGAACCGCCGACCTTTCGATCGGCAAGCCCTAGGCGCTGAGGCTTTTACCCACAGCGCCACCCGCATCCCCGGCTCAGCTCAAACATCATACTAAAACACGGATGTTAAAGCTTAACCGTTTGGTGCAGAGTCTGAATTGACAAATCAGCCAGCAAATCAGAATCAGAAGCCACGATTAGCAAACCATTGTTGCAGGTGTTTCTCCACCTTCGAAGGCCACTGCACCTAGGGAGTGAGCAAACAGAAATAAAAGGCTAACAAACTGCTCTAAACCATCACATGTAAACTCACAAAGTTTTGTGCCTTGACTTCAACAAGGCCTTCCACCGCATGCCTTGGCCGTAATTTCATCTCAAGACTCATGATTTATTGTTCATCTCTCAGAGGTGGTTATTGAGCCATACAGCAGCCACATACACCCAGTATTGTTCAATTCCCTTCCAGTCTACAACTCTCTGGGTTGTGCAAATGAGACCTTAAGTTGGATCATCTTAATGACTCATCTGCACCATGCATTTAAAGCAGTATCATGCCACTTTAAACAGCCATGGCTTTCCCCAAAGAATCCTGAGAACTGTGGTTTGCTAAAGCTTCTGAGAGTTGTTTGGAGACCCCAGAGCTACAATCTCTGGGAAGAGAGGTTGGCTGTTAAGCACTCTTCCGCATTAGCAAGCAATACCAGCCTTAACAACAACAGTGCACTATTAGCTATATCTTCTCAGAAGGAAGTCCCATTTAGTTCAGTGGGGCTTACTCATGGGTAAGCGGGTACCAGATCACAGCCCAGCTCTTCCTTGATACACCAAGTTTGGTTAAGTGCTGAAATGCTTTCAATCCTGTCTGTTATGACCTTTGACATGTCATGCCAATGTTGTTAGTCTACCAGGTGCACAAAAGGTATTTTGCTGATCCAGACTTGACCAACGAGGAGAACGAACCTGAATCAACGCAGGAGCCAACACACAATATGATGAATGGAGGATTTACTTTGGAAGAGGGAGGAGGAGGAGAGAAGCACGTGTCAGCGACTCCCAATGGAAGAGTATAGCCTTGAGAAGGCTGGCTGGTGGCAGGCTGGGAGAGAAACATTGGACTGTGGGGAACAAATCCCTCTTGAGATGGCCATGCTGTATGGTCTGTACTCCCTCCATGCGGAGTAAAAGTGTAAATATGTGAAAAGACCATATTTCTTAAAGCTACAACAGTTCCACCCCATCTTCAATTCTCCAAAGGAGCACAGACCCTGAATGGGGACCAAGACACTTGGAATTCCATGCACGGCTTGGCAGGGATTAGGGTGTCCGATAACACTATTTAGAAATAAATAAATAAATAAAAACATTAAATAAGTGGCTAACTATTTAATGCTCTCCTATGGCTGTAGATTATAAATACCATTAAATCTAAAATCAGTTGGTTAGAGCATCATGCTGATAATGCCAAGGTTGCAGGTTTGATCCCCATATGGGGTAGCTGCATAGTCGTGCACTGCAGGGAACAGGTCTAGCTGATCCTCAGGGTCCCTTCCAACTCTACAATTTATGGCTTCATTATCATTAATCACCACATAATGATCTCTGTCAAAGAGTTGTCGACAGAAAATGTTCAGTCCACCATCTCCTCACCGGAATTCCCAATCAATGAGTTTCATAGGGAGTAAGAGGTTATTAATACCTTTCGTGCGTGCACCTACAAAGTAGTCTGGCCAGCATGAACACTGTTCATGCATGTGCAGAGTCTTGGAGTTGTACATTCCAAGCCACAGAAGAACTGGGAAATGACGCTTGATCGCTTGATGCAGCTGATCATTACAGGGCAGACAAATTCATATTCCAAACTATTATCACCATCATCAACAACAATAACATCACTGGTTTATGAATCGCTATCTAAACAACTATCACTAACAACTTCAGCAATACTCCTCTCTCAAATTAAGCCCTGAAGTCCCTGAACTTTTAAAGCTGAGGCACATTGCTTTAGCATCTCCCACTTCACAGATTGGTTACAGGTGGTCCATTCTAAGCAAAGAATGGTGGATAATCCCTCCAGTCCAAATTCATTGTTTCCAAATCATAGGAGCCAACTCCTAGGAGCCAAGATCCCTTGGCCCCCCAATAAATTATTTGAGGGGGCTTGTCTCCCCAAAGTTGATAGGCACTGCCATTCAAATGGATATGCAGACACCGCATCTTGTGATTACTTGGGCCCCCTCAATAGTTTATTCAAGTTGACACCTCTGATTCAAAACCAATGCTGCTTTTTCCAGGGAGAAAAATTGTCTACTGTTTGTGGAATGCTCTCCCCATGGAGGTTTGTCTGGTGCCTTCATTGTACAGTTATATGCATCAGGCAAAAGAGTTCCTCTTCAACCAAGCCTTTGGCTGATGAACAGTCTATGACCTTTTAAATGTGTTTATGGGGGGGGGGGTTAATGGTTTGTTTTGTTCTTGCTTTTATTATGTACTTTGTGGTTTTATTCTGTCTTTTTATGCTGTAAATCTCCCCGAGATCTTTCTGTGAAGGGCAGTCTACAAATTTAATAAATAAATAAAGAAAAATAAAGAAATACTGTAGACAGATGACTTTTTGCTTCAGAGATTCTTAGCCAAAGCTCTAGCACATGGAAAAGATCAATTAACCCACTTCTGGGTGCTGTGATTTTATGTGGCAACATTATTGCTCTGCATTTTCTATTTAAAATATGCATTTGGCAAGCACAGCTTAAATGACGAATTCTAAGCAGCAAGCATGCTATTTTCCACGATTCAGGAAAAAAGAATGTGCCAAAAGCAGAGCAAAGAATGAGTTGCCGTTATGGGACAGATGTTGAAAAAGAAATGCCATATTCTGCACCATATGCCAAAGTGTGCAGAAACTCTTTCGCCACATGAGTGCACAGCACTTTGCAGAATTTGCTCCCTTAAATCATCCATAGCATTGCATGTCTCAGAGCAACTGTCCTAGTAAGCCAATGCCTGCTGTGTACAACCCTGAAAAAATTAAACATGGTGACTAAGACTGCAATCCTTTGCACACTTGCTCGGAAATGCCTTATGATGTACAAATTCAGACTTCTTACTTCCAAATAAACATGAGGAGGACTAGGAGGCATGCCCCACAGAAAACGGTGCAATTGGATTTACAGTCCAACCTAAGCATGATTACTTAAAGCAATGATCTGAATCTCTAGTGCAGAGATGGGGAAACAGTGGCCAGCCAGATTCATTTCCCATCAGCCTCTGCCAGCCTGACCAACAGTCAGTGATGATGGGAGCTGTAGCCTATCAACATCTGAAGAAGCACAGGTTCCCCATGCCATGCCTTGCCCTAGTGTGTGTGTGTGATCTTCATGGCAACCCTCTGGTTTCCTATTGGTGAAAACAAACCTTTGCTGGATCAATGTGCCCCCTAAACCTAACATGGCAAATTCCAAAAGTAATTTAGCAGTTGTGGTAACTGGTTCTTGCATATTCTAGTCTCCATCACCAAAACAAAAAGGTCCACACTGCAGGTTCCATGTGAAAAGCTGCAAACAGGTGTTCAATTCTAGTACAGTTGAAGGAGATATGCACTGTTGCCTAAAACACACACATAATGTCACTTTCAACTCTTTGGGCAAAAATAAACCAAGCTACAATGCGTGTCCAGCCTGAAGTTGCTACCTTTTTCTTTTACTCATCCATACTGTCATTTAACGTTAATAGCAAGCTTCCTGTGCTTCTCTGTTGTCCAAATGGTGTTAATTCTCCATTAATTCTCCTTTGTCCAAATGGCGTTTTCCTCCAAATTGTTGTCGTCCCACACTTTCCCCTCCCTCAGTCTGGATTTTGTGAGTCGAGGCCCCGCTCTCCGCTTGGTGATGAAATAAGGCACATGGACACAAATATTTAGGTTAATGGGCTTTAAAAGGCAACAACTTTATTGGTTACAGAATGTGAGTGGTATTGGCTTAGGCCAGGGGTCAGAAACGTTTTTTGAGGCTGGGCCGATCCACTCCCCAGCAGACCTCTTGGTGGGCCGGAGTGTGCATGCCCGTGCGCACACGCTATTTCCGGCGCACTTTCAGCACGGAGGAGTGCCTGTGCACATGCACACATGCTCTTCGGACCCGGAAGTTGTTCCCCGCAGCGAGAAAAAAATTGGTGCCACAGGGAAAAAAGCACAGAATCCCCACGCCGATCCATGGAACCGGCCCATGGGCCTTAGGTTGCTGACCTCTGGCTAAGGCATTGGATCCGAACAGACTATACCTGACTCCTGCCCGCTCTGCAGGGAGTCACACAAGGGTTAACAATCTGTAGAGGGAGCTTGTTGATGCAAATAAACTGGAAGCTTTCCCCTAGAGTTACCGGAGGGTCGTGTCATAGCCCTAGCCACCACCTAGGCATCGGACAGGAACCACAACCGCCGGATTCCTTTAACGGAACACCCTTCAAGGAGAGGGGTAGGTGATGGCCACAACCTTCCCTCCAACACACAACACATTTTCCAGTGCCTAACCGCCAAACCTTACAAAGTTGTGACGATTTGCTATGAGGTGGTGGCTGGTGCCAATCTGCCAACTGGAAAAAATTCCTACCAGGGCCCTTGGACAACCAAGGCGACCAACCGAAGTCCATAGCAAGGTCAGGAGCTGAAGCAAAACCTAGAGGGAGGGCAGGTGGATGATCCATGGAAGCCGGAAAAGCAAGGGAGAGCTTGTGGGCCCACAGCCGTTTAAATCGGGCTAAACCGCACACCCCAGCCAGCCGGATTGGCTGGCTAAGGGGTATGACACAGACCCAGGGCTCCAGTGGTGCAGGGGGCCTAGCCACGCCCTCTGCGAGTGCAGGAAGCAATTCCCGTTCACTACCCCTCCCCTCTGGGAAGAAGAGAGGCATTCTCACACCATGGATACTTGGGAAAAGGAGAGGGTATGAGGCCACACTGAGAAAGTAAATATTTTCTCTGTATGCAGGGCTAATGAGGCAGGAGTGTCACCAGACACTCCCATTAAGAACATTTTAAAAGAAAAGTACCAATGCAATTCAATGCATTTGTGCTCAAGTGGAAATCTCACTAACATAGGTGCTGACTCCTAGGGGCCAAGGCAGATTCGGCCTGCCAAATATATTTTTTGAAGTAATAATAATAATAATAATAATAATAATAATAATAATAATTTATTTTTACCCTGCCCATCTGGCTGGGTTTCCCCAGCCACTCTGGGTGGCTTCCAACAAAATATTAACATACAACGGTCTGTTAAACATTAAAAGCTTCCCTAAACAGGGCTGCCTTCATATGTCTTCTAAAAGTCTGGTAGTTGTTGTTCTCTTTGACATCTGATGAGAGGGCGTACCATGGGGCGGGTGCCACTACCGAGAAGGCCCTCTGCCTGGTTTCCTGTAACTTGGCTTCTCGTACCGAGGGAACCGCCAGGAGGCCCTCGGCACTGGACCTCAATGTTTGGGCATAACGATGGGGGTGAAGACGCTCCTTCAGGTATACTGGACCGAGGCAGTCATGCACTTGGGCCAGTATGAAGGGCCAGGCCCCTTCATTTTTCAGAGGGTGTTTGGCTCTGCCCCCTGGCTCCCCACACTGTCGAGTGCATGACGTCACACTGGGGGGGGGGCATGCCTCTTGAGAAGCTCTACTATCTTCAGTGGAGCTTACTCCCTGCATAAGAGTACAGTTGTAACTTCCATTAACTACAGTGAAGAATTTCCAGAGCTGGTGAATGTTTCTTGCCTCCATTTTGTTTTTTCCAGTCCAGGTGCGGAGAACTTTTGGTCCTTCAGATGTTGCTGAAGCGCAACTACAACGTCCCTGGGCATTGGCCATGGTTCTGGGGCTGATGGCAGCTGTAGCTCCGCATCTTTGCTTAGCAGAAATCTAAAAAAAAGAGAGATTGTAACCTGATGCTATGTATGGTTACTCAGAAAGAAGTCCTGGAGAGTTCAGTGGTACATATGGTCCATTAAGGCTGCGTAGGAAGGCAACCAGAAAAAGTATTCTCATGTGGACGGCTTGAGGGTTAAAAGTAAGAGAATTCCTCCTACGTCTTGGCAGAGCATTAAGTTCCTACTGTACCTTTGATAATGCAAAGTGCATATCTCCTTATCTACTCAACTTATCTGATAAGTTGTAAGGACAGGTGTCCTTTAAATTACATATGAGGTTCTCTTTGATTTCTATATAGACATCTTATCTTTCAATTACAGCACAGGTAAGATTGGTTTTGAACCTCTAAGAACACCCAGGCAATTAACTTCTTTTTTAAACTTTGCATTTAAAAAAAAAAATCACATAAAATTATGCGCTTGGAAAGCCAGTGTTGCGAATCAATTACATTTATGGGAGGATTGCCTGATTTGTCTCACAACAGGACTAAAGTCACACTTACTGGTGCCTGCAGAGGTGGCCAGTTGCAAAGGAGCTGCTGGACCTTTGATAGCTACATAGAAGAGCAAAATTCAGCAAGGCAATTTTTCGTGCTGAAGTTCTCTTTTCTGCATAACCGTTACAGGTCTGGGAGGTCTGTCTTCTTTTGCATTTGGCCAGCCAAATTCCAGCTAACTAGGAAATTATTCCAGCCTATGCCCCCTCCCCCCAGTGCCTGGATGTCTTCCACAACTGAAGCTGTCAACAACAGGGAGAGAAACCTCATCATCTGTTAATGTACATTGACTTGCTGTTAGAAAGACAGATACGGGGGCCAGTCGGAAAGCTGGAAACTCTGCCAACGTAGCCCTTGCAGACATTTTCAAGATCAACAGAAGTGACTTAGGGACCAATCCTATAAACAAGGACTTGGCATAAAGCAAGGCAGGCATAAAGTTAGAGCAGAGCCAAATTCCGTTCAGCATTTGGGCTGCTGTTGGCTGAGTTGTCCTCAGCCAGGCAGAGGGAAAACAAGCCTTTAAAATAGCAGTTGAGTTCCACCACCTTTTTTTGGCAGCTTAACTTATGCCAGCTTGCCAAGGTGACATGACCAAGCCAAATGGGCCTGGGATCCAGCCTAAGTCCTCTGCCACCCACTTCAGGTGCTACCACACACCCCTTGGGTCCCCAAATGCTGTTGGACTACAACTCCCATTTTCCCTATCTACCAGGACTAGTGGTCAGGGAAGATGGGAGTTGTGGTCCATCAACATCTAGGGAGCCAAGTTTGAGAAAGGCTGGCTTACACTGACTTAAGATCTGTTGGGTTTGACTCAGCTGACTAGGTCTTAGTTGACCCAGGATGCAAGAGATGCACTGTGCATCTTTGCCGAGTCAAGGGTGAGAGATTTAAACCAGTGTAGCCTGCTTATGCTGGGAAAATCTCAACATAGCTGGATCCTAACCTGTTGATCTTGCTGTAGGATTGCCCCCTTTACACGGCCATCCTAAACACATTTCCAGGGGAATAAATGCCATTGAATTCAGTGGGACTTTTTATTATTTATATTGATGGTGATGATTATTATTATTTCAACGTCTAACCCACACCTTCTCCCGAAGGAGCCTCTGAGTAAACAAGTTGAGGATTGCATTATTTGTTCCAATTATGTTTATTAGGCTAAAATCCAGAGAAGCAGACCCCAGTGGAATC